TTGGCTTTTTAACAAACTTATATTATATAAAATTATCTTTAAAAAATATTAAAAACGGCCCYATTTTTAACTCGCCTCAGGCTTCTAGAAGTCCTTGAATGGCACTGCGCGAAATATACACGCGTTGTTATCTTATCCACCGACTGAGTGTCACGTGTGTTTATAAAAGTCAACTTTACCTGATTCTTTTGGAAAATATATTTTTCGACAGTAACATATAATTAGTTACTATAGATTTTGTAGGAAAATATTTTTTGCTTCCGACAATAACATATAATTAGTTACTATAATATTTGTTGGAAAATATAATTACTTTAAATCTCATCCGTAATAGGTAATTTTGAATTCAGTTCGGTTTCTTTTTGCCAAATTTTGATACGGTTCACTTTTGTTCACTATTGAAATTATATCTACTTCGTTATTTTTCARTTCTACTAATTTATGGTTTGGTCTGGTTCGGTTTCATAATTTTGTAATTGCGACCATATCTGAAATAATTCGTAGATATAATATCTCAGCGGTTATGAATATAATTATGATTTGATATTGGTTTTCAAAATATTTATCTTATTGTATTCAGTTCCTATATTAGGAATTGTGATTAGTAAGAGGATAAATAAAGATAAATATTTTTAAAATTAGGAGTATAAACATTATAATCTCAGATATAATTGAAGGGAAATGTGGGAAAATACCATATATTACTGCTGATTTTTGAAAAATACACTACTTTTAATTTCTTTTGAAAATTACTCTTTTTGGAACAGAGTTTGTACGATAGAAAAACATATAAAAGAAAAAGAAAAACAAGTTGTTGGCTAGTTTCTCAAGACCACCAAGGAGCATGAGCATCACCAGTTCTAAAATCAGTTTCTACCCATGAAACAAAAACCATAAATCAGAGATTACAAAAGCAAACAAAAAACAACACAATTAGAGCATTTATAAAGCAAAGCTACTTGTTCTTAGTATCAGACTTTGGAAATTTCAAGCATGGACTCTCTACTTTGTAAAGTGGGATCAAATTTGGAGTGATCCGCAAACAATGGTGCTACGCGAAAACATTGCAGCCATTGTGCTACTCGCTGCCTCTTTCCTTTCATTTACAATTTGTCTCCAGATTACTATTGTTCTCTAGTCTGCCTAGTTCGAGGTTTTTAAAGCTATGATTCCCTTTAAATTCTACGCACCCAAAATAATTAACATTATTACATGTTTTTAGTAATCTACTAGTATTTATATATTTACCATATACACACATGTAGCAGCTTTTTACATTTTTTTTT